AAATCCAATAGTCAAAATTAACTGAAAAGGTTAAATATAAATTAAACTTAATCCAATACTCGTAAATAATTGTAACTAATTCGCAGTAATTACAAACGAAGCAACTTATTCGTTCTAAAGCATTATTTCAGGTGACGATAGATGTTTTGAACAAGAGTTTTAATATATTTAATAGTTAAACTCTAGAACTTCCAGGGTTTACCCTTAAACGTTCACCGGTGTCGCTTCCACACCGCGATATAAAATATATAAAATAATTGCAATAACTAAATAATTGCAGGACTACTGTTCAGTAGGATTTAGTTTTATGATTTCTATATTACGACTCTTTATAACATAAATAATGTAACAAAACAAATTACTTAATCTTGTAAAATGAAATAAAACAATAATATTCATAAATATTAGTATAATAAGTAAAATCTTAATTTTTGTTAGTATGCAAGTTTTTTAATCATTATTAATCTTTTGTAAACATAATATTTGGTCCATACCACATTTGTAATGGATGCAGTGATATTCAATTTTTTCGGTATATTTTCCATACACAATTTTCATGTAATAGATACAAATTTTTTTTTTCGTTTCATTTCCATCACAATCTTTAATTTCTCACTTTTTGCGTTTTAGTAAATTTGGAATTCCTTTAAATTCAATGTTTATCATAGTTACAGGGTGTCTGCTCTGCGTTTCAGGGTGTCTATCTAATGTAGAGGAGAATGAAAAGTTGTACATATTTGAATTGATATTCAAAATAAACCAAAAAGACTTAATGGAGAAATTCCGCTACCGGATGGGTGGGATGCTGGTCGGGATTTCGATGAAAAATTCATTTTATTGACCATATTAATAAAAAAAGTACATGGATTGATCCTCGTGACAGGTAAGTCAATGATAATCCTATGATTGAAATGTGAGATTCTATGTCTTATTATTAATTAATTAATTAATTAACTAATTGTTAATAATTGCATTATATGTGCTTATAATTAAGTGCTTATTGAAAAATGGCTGTATTATGGCTGGTAAGTGTTTGGTATCGCTTTTGAGAAATCGAAGGAATTTTTTTATGCGAAGATAAGCAAATGCTATGCAATAAAACACTTAAACTCAATAATTTTATAATAATTGATTCATTTCCCCTGTGAACCCAATAACACTTCTTTCAAGGTCAAACAAATGTGCCTTAGTACTTTAGAAAGACTGTTTTTCTAATGATATTTACTTAACGAACTATCTTTTGTTGAACAACAGCTATTTATAATGGTAAATTGCCTTAGTGTCGAAACGGAACCAGCGGATGTTCTAAGTATATTTAGTTATAAAATGCCTCTTAATTGACCTTAAAACCACAAAACTCTATCCATGTAATCACCATTTTAAATTATTAAAATTCACAGAAATTGTTCAAATGTCCAGCAAAAATGCGGAAAAGAAGAAAGAACTAAACAGGCTCCGATGTCTAATCGAAAACCGAGGGACGTTTTAGTGTTAATTTGTAAATAAAAAAAGTAAGAAATTCATACTATTTTAATGAGTTATAACGTGTCAAGTGAATAAAAAATAAGCATTGTTAAACTACTTATAGATACAAAGCCTAATAAGCGCATATAAAAAATATATTGTATAAATTTCATGTCACAAAAACTCTTTTGTCAGGAAAAATCATACATTTTCCTTTAAAATCATACAATATTTTAAAAGAAAGTGTCTATCCAGTCTCTATCCTAGTTGGCTTTAGTATTCTCCAAATATATGCGCATACATAACCAATATCCAAAACATAAAAGATAAGCTTTCGCGAAAATATATTCTATATCTATGTATGAAAAGATAAAATTTTGAATAACTTATTCTTCGAGCAAAAACACAAAAAGGAATTCATTCTTACTTGCATTATAGAGCAATTAACATTTAAATGTTATTCTTTTTTTTAAATTTTAAAACTTCTTCCGGTGTAATTTCAATCCATTTTAAGTCTTTCGAAATTTTATTTTGAATAAATTCATAACTTCAAATAAAAATTGTAAGACACAACGATAGACTTATTAATCTAGCAAGTAAGTTAAGATTTTTGACGTTGCGTGGCTTTAAAATGGCTGGTGCGCCATTTTGACGCACAATGAAGAAAAAGTCACTTTTTCGTTTGCTTTAACATAGTCATTTCTCTAATATTCTCATTGAGTGGAAACTTCCTATTTCTGTTAGAATGAAACCTATAACAAAAATTTACATCAAGTTTAAATGTATGATTTATTCCATAGAATTTTATCTTAGTATTTTAAGGCATGAAGAATTAAACTTCCATGCTATGTTACATGTAGCTGAATATCTTAAATGAAATATAAAATCGTTGTTGCACTTATTGCAGAAAGTCGAGATTTGTTTCTGACAATAAATAAGAAGCACTTAAATAATAACACGTTATTGAATAAAATAATTAAGGTTATCAAATTCATGAAACGGACAATACTGCATAAAACTGCCTTGAAATTTTGGAAACCATTGCATTCTATGTCACTTGGTTCAATTTTTCACATCTAGTATGCTCTATTTTTTCTATTTTAATCTATTTTTTCTATTATCTATTTTTTCTATTTCTATTTTACCATGATTTTCAATTTTTTTGAAACCAAAAGCTTTTTTAACTGGCAGAATTATTCGAATAAAAAAGTTCTTTTTTCATTCAAGAACTGCTCTAAGACATTTTGTTTTGTAAACGCAAAGACTTAGAAGTAAATAAGATTGCTTTTGCAGGAGAATTATTTTATCTTTATTACATTTAGTAAAGATTTTGCTTTATAAAGTTCCATGTATAATAAATGCTGTAAATCCTAAATGCAACTGAAAACTGAACTTTTAATTGATAAAACTTGTTAACTTTAACGTATAGTTATATTTTATCGATTTTAAGAACAACTTTTATGAAAGTCACAAATAACCTTGCAAACAATTCATGTAAGCGGATGTCGTTTTCTATCCCTAAAAGTTAACAAGCATATATATTTTTTGGGAATCATTTTTCCTAAGCTTCCTAAATTCCATTCTTTGCGGTCCGTGATTTCTTTGAAAGATAGTAAGAAGATAGTAACGATTTAGTAAGTGGTTATGTAATTGGAGGAAAAGTTGAAATAGACATTTTTTCCTTTGATCCAATATTTTAATGGCTGAAATATCATTTTATTGTATGGACATTGAGTACAAAGTATTTAATCTTTATAATAGTGTTTTTTTAATAATTTAGTGTAACGAAACAAAAGGCGCAGTATTATATTATTCCTTATCGTAAATATTATGAAAAATGCTTGTTTTCAAATTGTGTAGAATAGGTTTTAGATTATTATTTCATAAATATCTAAACTGAATAATTATCACAGATGTCATTTCACTTAATTTAGAAACAAACTTAATGACTCCGAGTTACTCTAGTGATAGTAACTTCCTTTTTCCCCACTTTGAAAAATACCTGTTATTTTTCGGAATTCCACCGTATATTTAAGGGTTCAAAGCCATTTTATTGGCAAAACGGTTTTCTCTGATTTTTACCCTAATAGCAAACGACTTAAAAGCGTCAGTAGAAATTCTAGTTTTTGCCGTGCTATTTTGTGTTCCATAATAAAGCTATTATTTTTTGTACTTGCTCTTACTTTTTAGCAATTATTTTATGGTTTTGAACATCATATTAGTAAAATTTGGATTTGACTTTTTAACCACATTTAAACAGTATGGAAGCGAAAATCTTATTATCACAATATTATCGTAATGAAAAACTTAAGCCTCAGTGGCTCAAGGAACAGAGCAGTGTATCAGAATCGAATCCCAGCAATGAAAGGTCGATAGAAATTTTGCCGTCATTAAATATTCCCATATGGTGCGAGTGCAGATATACTTCGAATTTTGAAGAAAACTTGTTCCCATATGGAAAACGTCTGCTGAGACACTACCTTTATTTTGCTGTAAACATTTTTATTGTTACGGCAAAAACCAATCGGATCACGGATTTTCTTCGTAAATTTTAATGTTATTCCCAAGCAATTCTGCTGTCGGTTTAAACCTGTAGATTTAACGAGATTTTTTTCTTACAATGCAATACTTTTGCATCAATTATTGTATCTTAATTATTACATTGTAAGATAAGTTTTGTTACTTAGATAACTTTTACTAAAAGAAATTATCAAATTTAAGTGGCATAAAAGCTATGATCTCTTATAACATTCAACAAATTGTCGAACCCATATAAAACTATTTAAGAAATTGAATTCAACTGCTTATTTTTTCATCAAATTCAGGCACATATGAACTTCAACTTCATAACCTTATGTCCTTTTTTAGATAATATATTTATATAAAAAGTAAATATATAATTTAGCTCTTTATTAATTAACATGGCTTGTAGATATTTTTTGAGCCATAAAAAGTGTTATAGTCCAACATGTTTAAAAGCAACTTAAATTGCACATAAAAGATATAATCATTATATGCTTCCCTCAATTCGGAGTGACTACATTTAGGAAACAACAATTATTGTTTCATTCAATTGCAATGAATTATTTATTAAAGTTGCAGAAGTGTGCATGTGGTGCACAGTCTGCATAAAGAGTTACCAGAAAAAAGTAAAATTTAAGATTGTTATTTTTTTCTGCTTACAATGAAAATTAAAACATCAATTGATAAGCGTCCAAACATGCACTTCTTCTTGCCATCTATCTTATTGTATTTTTTCAAGAGTACTGCTTTACCATTTTCCAAATTTTAATGATGTTAGAGTAAAAGAAGAAGTAAACAAATCAATAATAAGATGGATTACTCCAAAAATGACCATTCTATAATCTTTTTTAATAACTTATTGAACTCTAGCTAGAGTAACTTAAACGTGTTATTGAACTGTAAATGCTTTATAAAGAAGTGCATCACACTATACTTCAGTGTGCCTTAAAGTTAGTTAAGAAAGATATTTTTCTGAAAGATTATAATAAGTGCATCAAGGTATGTATGCTTACCCATCTGATAAGTAATCATGAGCGAATCTTGAGTTGGGTTCTGAATGTCTGTTTAATCTGTATAGATGCTGTTGTTGAAGAATTGCTTGTGGATGATGATTAGGATGATGTTGATAAAGTGATGGTGATCGATGATGACCATGCTTTGAATCGCGGGATTGCAGGCACATGCGTTGGACAATTAAATGGCGCTGATCGACGTCGAGCGATTCTGTACAAAAAATTAATACATGAATAATTAGTATAAATTATCTATCGTATTGCAGCAAAATATTCAATAGTTACTATTTCATTTTCATTATCAGCGAAAATCAACCTATTTCACTTTTTGATAAATAGTTTTGGTTATTACAATTTCAGTTATTTTAAGCAATATTATAATTGGTTTCGTCACCAAATTACAGAATTTGATATAAAAAAAGAATAATATTTTTATTTTTATCTGTATCTCTATGTCTTGATAATCACCGACCGGACAGAGTAAGGTTCAGGGAACTGGCCTTGCATCGGAAAGGTTCGGGGTTCAAATCTCGGGAAAGGCATGGATGTTCTTTCCTCCTCTGCACTATCTGTCTTTACTGTGGGAGAAACGTTGGTCCACCTAATATGGTCCACCTGAAAGAGTGCCCAATAAATCTGCCCTGTAAAATGCCTTAATTGACGAAAAGTTAACACAGGTGGGCATTGCGAATAAAAAAAATGTTTTGATTACCACCTAATGATATTAATAAGCAATTTAAATATTTTGCGTTATGAACATCTTTTTAACTGAATCAAACTATACAAATATGAAATAATGAAACGATTGATATCAGTTTTTAATTTCAAAATACAAATCTGCATGTTGAATACACAAAATTTGATTTTAAAAGTATAAAATTTGCAAAGTGCTGTTCGTCAACGCTGTGGTTGAAATTTATGAAATATGTTTGATTTTATAGTATCGCTAACAAACGAGCTTATTTTTGGAAGCTTAAGTTAGCTAAATTTATGATAAAATGCATATTTTTTTTCCAAATTCAGTTTTATAATTCTAAGTTATTATTTTAAAATCATTCTGTCATTTTAAACGAAATAAACTGAACATTTTTACAATTTACTCTGTGTATATATTTAGCGATTTTCTTTAATTTTCAAAATTGATAAATCAAACCTTCTTGTTTTACAGAGGAAAAAAATATATGTAATAGCAATATGTAAGCTTGCGAACAAAGTTTGAGATTAAATCTTATTGCTGAACTTCATTCCATTCTTCATACGTTATAAAAAACTCAATTGCTGCATTTCAAAATCATTGAATTTTACGATCTAGGATAACAATTATGTCTTCATAAATTAAATCTTGGCATCAGTTCCTTTTTACAAAAGAAAGTAACACATTCCAGTTGAAAAATGTTGTAACGCATAATTAGCTTAATTTGTAATCCATTTAGAAAAAGGAAGCGAATATAAATTGAGGAAGAAGAGAAAAATTTTCTAAATATAATTGGAATTGCGCCAAAAACTTTATGCTAAAAAAATGTTAGAAGTCTTAAAACTGGTAAACATTAGTCAAAAAAAAACTAGAAACTAAGCGCATGTGAAAAAAACACTCTAAAAATTTAATCTATCTTTCAAAACTTCAAAAGAGAAATCTCATTGGGAAACATTTTTTCTTTTTAAACTATTATCAAGTGCTAGACAGAAGCCCTTTTATGGTAGACAAGTGTTCAAATAGCAGGAAATAAAGATTTTCTTTAAAACAAATAACGTTAAAACATTTTTTTTCAATGAGAGTTTTTTCTATAAAAAGGTCGAAAAAACATAGCTTTTATAATATTATTAAATAAACTTTGAAATTAGATAACTGTAACAGTTTTTTTTCCATAACTTTGAATACAAGTTAAAAAATTTTGGGTGATATTTATGAACTTTTGGCAACTAATATTTGGCATTCCGAATCCTAAGCCTAAGAATGCCTAATTTGCTTAAATTCAAGTATAATTTCTTTTAATGTAATTTTAAAACTTAATGCCCTAAATTGCTTCCAAACTTCCCACAAAAATAAATTTCCCTTTTTATTTACACCAGAAAACACTCATTAAAATTGTTAAACATGATATTTTTGTTTATTTAAAAACTCAGGAACTCATTGCTTATCATAGCAACAAAATACCATTTTGAACGAAGGTGTGACAATAAATTAGCCAGACAATTTCTCTGGAAACCTTTAACGGAACTTCCAGTTCGATTTTGTTCCACTACGCATAGCTAAAAGTACTCAAGAATGGTGCTTTCTAAAAGCTCAAGAAATAGGCCATCATATTTCCCTCCTCAATCTTCAACCCAATGCGTTTTTATTCCCAATTGGTCTTTCATAAGGCGGTTTTTGCCAAATTTCATAAGATCTGAAATCATTAAAAAGTACCTAAGGTAAAGAATGGGTAAAAATAGCAATAGACGAGTTGCAATCAGTAATATAACATTTTATGATACATTTACATATCTACGTTAATTGCAAATGTTATCAATTTAAAAATAATTAAATTAATATTCAAATTGTTATTAGACGTCGGAAACTGTTTTCAAAATATTCAAATTTTGTTAGAGATAGTATCTTAATGTTTATTAGTAATTATTTTTTGTTGTAATATTTTAACAAACGTATATATTATAGTCCTATTTTTCTCCAATTTTATCCTTGTTACCGTGCATAAATCATTGCAACTAACTGTAATTAATAAACGAGGAAAAACATTCTGGTAAAATTATCGTATTCTATGGTAATGACGTTTCTAGTAGAAAAAAATAATAATTTTGGTAATAAAATCCAAAATATTCAATAATTAAGTTATGCATTTAGTAATTTTTTGTTCATATGGCAGTAGTTTATCAGAAATTCTGGCTTTCAAAATTACAGTTTTTATTATTACACATTTGATAAACAGTACATAATTGAAAAGTACATACTATTTAATCAAATAAATGGTTTTTATCCCATGCACTAAGATATCATGATAAAATTTTATCGCATATGATAAAACCATATTTCACTGTTAGTTGCACCGAAATCCTTACCACTGGGCTTCGACAAAAATTAAAGATCTTTTTTGTGTTCTCTTAGAGTCAGAAACATGGTACATTTTAAAATATTCTGGTAGTTTTGACAATATTTTTTTTCTCAGTAACTATAAATAATGCCGAATTGAACTGCTGTAAAAACCACTGGCACTCTGAATGCCTAAACTATTTATAGCAAATTTATATCTTACAGTAAAATCAATTTCTAACGCAAATTCTGTTATTACCTTAATATTACACGGAACAAAAAATCTGATATACAGTAGTTTTTATTGTAATAATTACAGTAAAATCAATTGATTACTTCAATTAAAAAAATATAACTACAAAAATTATTACAGTGTAAAATGTTGCGTTGAAAATTTAGTTTACGGTAAAATGGATTTTGCAGATGCTGCACTCAAGGTGCCAGTACTTTTTACCCCTAATTTGATCCACAATATTTTATATGTATATAT